AAACATCAGCAACAGATCTCAAATAACTGTAACCTTTGATCATGTCTTGCATGAGAGTTGAGCCAATGATCTCAAGAGGAAGAAACATTACCATTTCATAAAAAGTTAAATCATTTTAATTAATAGAAACACCCAAATAAAGAGCTCAGTTCTGAGATGAAAGCTAAAGTTGACAAGCAGTTTGCATATAATGTACAATTACATGCTCTACATAAAAAATAAAATAGATGACAAATATGGAAAGCAACTAAAATTAAGTCAGTAATCCTGGAACTAAACTGGATTTATCATTCCCCACATGGCTTGAAACTGCCGAAGTTTTCTGTCACAGTTTTTCCTCCCAGTTCTGCAACGAGGATTACAATGGCTTGCCATGCTTGTTAGAAAATTTCTCCCTTTTATCCTTCTCCCAGCCAAACACGGGCATTCTCAAGACTGGAGGAAAAGCAACACTCTGTGGATCCCCATCACCATTACTGCCCACTGCGGGCTCTTACCACCAGCAGCATTATGGTTTATGCTACTAATCTGACCTACAGCTTTGGAGAGTGACAGGGGGGTGAGGGGGGAAACTCTTCCTCCTATGTATTTGGAGGCATAGTCTGCTAGAAGTGACCTCCTCCCATCCTGGTTGCCCAGCATTATTACTCCTTAGAAAGGTTATGAAGGAAAGCCTACAAGGTAACACGAACACACTTGGTGCTGTACAGCACTAGGATCTTCGGTGGATGACTTCTATTACCTGCTTACCAGTTCTGATCCATGGCTGTCTTCCCAATCATGAACATTCGGATACATTTGAAAATGAGCTTAAAATATGTCTTATGACACGTGTTCATTAGCAGAAACAACTTCCCCCCGTGCTTTCCAACAGCCTTTCAGTTTCAGCAGCAGAATCCAGGCCCTAATCTCTGATTCCTGTTTCCCTGTTTTCACCCTTTTAATTCTCAACCACCAAATCTTCCCTAGCTGAAAATTTTTCTGGCATCTTTCACTACTCGACACTTGAGTCCTCTGGGAGGAAGAGGCTATTAAAAAAAAATCTTAATACCCAAGGAAGGCTATAGAAATCACAGAGATTTAAGATATTCATAAGGTCAGGTGTAACGGGGTAGATGGAGACACCATATGTGAGCTGTGAGGAGGTAACTCCATCTCCCTGCACGATTCCTTGCACGGTAACTATGAGGTGTGAAATATTCATGGGTAGAGAGGAGTCCCCTGCTCCCTTCTCTCTTTGGTCTGCTCATATTCCTGCTGTGCTGGATCACACTGAGCTGTACCTGCTAGAAAACTGTCCTGCTGCAGTCTCCCTTAGGCTTACACAAACACTTGCAGTCTAAAAGGCCCCAGCAAGGCCTGACTCCAGCAAGATTGTCATTCCTGCTTTCTCTGTGTTAAATGTTAATATGATCCCTCTCTGTGCTCCAGGTTGGCAGCCATCTTCTGTGAAGGGGACAGCTGGAAGCTGTACTAAAACCTGTTTCACTGCTACCTACCCATGGCCTCTCTATTGTATCCCTATTCCCTCTTTGTAGAGCTTTTATTTACTGCTTGTTATAGTTAAATGAATATTGCTAGTTTTGTAATGGCTTAGAAATACTAGTGGAAAGAATAAAATAATTCCTCTATCTTCTAACATGTCTGAAAACAGCTGAGAAAGATGACTAGAATTTAACACTCAGGACAAATCTTGATCTTGTCCTGCTCCTGCTGATGGAATCTTAGAGTCCATTTTAGAAATAATATTATTATTGTATCTCCTTTCTGCTGCAGTAGCAGTCACATCACAGAGCCACAGATTATGTCCCAGCGTGAGAGGAACTGTGGTACTGTTACTCCACTGGTCACAGCTTCAGGTCCTGGCCAACATCTGAGTAAGGCTAGCGGAGCCTGGCTCATTATCAAATAAATTACTACCTTTAGCAAGATAATGATCTTAAGCCTTCTGCAGTGCAGCAATACTCAAACAATGAATCATGTGCTGGAGCTGTCAGGATATGTGCTTCTAGCTTTCCCTCCTCTTTCAAACTGCTGAACTGCATCAAAAAACCTAATACAAATCAAATTGAATGTGTCTTGGTTTGACTTTTCCATTTACATGTATCGTATTGTTATCATAATTTTATACCATCTTAGGTTGCACAGAAAGTAGATCCTGAATGGGATGGTGGATTTGCAATATAATCTGTTGGGATGCGAGGCTTTCTTTGAAAAATGTTCAGGCCTTATCCCTATATCCCACAGAAATTTTGCAGATGAATGTAAATTATAGTCACTGTAACCTATAGTGATTTGTTTTGTTCAATGTGTGTGTGTGTGTGTGTGTACGTATATATATATATATATATACATGGCCAGAATCAGTAATTACTACCTTGTCAGGCATTATGCAGCTGATATTTAATAGATATTTTCCTTCGGCTTAGGTGATGAATAGCTGTGATCTTGGAGAAGGAGCTGTGTTCTCTCCTCCTGCTGCTGTTAAGTTCCCAGAGGAAATAAATAATGCACAAAGACAGGCTGAGTCCTGCAGCACAGAAGCAGGGAAATTCCAGCTCTTGCTAGAGATGATTTTCATAGATTATGGCATAATGAGAAAGGAATGTACTAACAACACCCAGGTTGCCAATAAACCTGAGTAAACTTGATTCAGACACTAAGGAAGTAATACCCATATGCACACATTTACAAACACAAACCCTTTGAATAACATTAAAACTGTTACTAATTCAATAAGGACTTCAAGAAATTCAAAGAACGGTCCGACTTAACAGTCCCAGTTATTACTCAGCAGCAAGATGGCTCCGATGCATAGCTGCACTATTGCATTTACCTGGTGCCTTCTCCATACTGCAGATCGTTAGTGCTATCTGACACACAGATTGTCTCTCACCTCAGCACATGTCCACCACCTGAGCTTAACAAAAATAAAATCAAAGCACAAGTGTGGAGAACATGCAACATGCCATACCAGTGGTAATGTAAGACAGTTGTTGCAATGCTGTGGAAAGAGGAAGGTTGAAATAAAGGGATCTGTAGGTCCCCTAAAATGGATCATAGAATCACAGAATGGTTTGGGTTGGAAGGGGCCTTAAAGAGCATCGAATTCCAGCTTCCTGCAACAGGCAGGGACACCTTCCACCAGACCAGGTTGCTCCAAGCCCTGTCCAACTTGGCCTTGAACACTGCCAGAGGTGGGGCAGCCAGAGCTTCCCTGGGCAACTTCTGCCAGGGACTTATCACCCTCACAGTAAAAAACTTCTTCCTAATACCTAATCTAAATCTACCCTCTTTCAGTTTAAAGCCATTCCACCTTGTCCTATCACTGTTGCTCTTATAAAGCATCCCTCTCCAGATTGCTTGTAGGCTCCCTTTAGGTACTGGAAGGCTGCCCTAAGGTTTCCCTGAAGTCTTCTCCAGGCTGAACAACCTGAACCCTCTCAGCCTGTCTTCACACGAGAGTTGCTCCAGCCCTCTGAGCATTTTTGCAGCCTTCTTCTGGACTCTCTCCAACAGGTCCACATCTTTCTTCTGTTGGAGCCCCCTGAGCTGGAGACAGGACTGCAGGTAGGGTCTCATAAGGGCAGAGTAGAGGGAGAGAATCATCAATCATCTCCCATATGACCTGCTAGATAGAGGTTACTATGCTGTTGCTCAAACCTAGTGCCCTCAAACTTCTTGGGGGAAGTAACAGTTGCTGAGCAAACGAATTTCTCTCTAGATCTGTAAGATGCCCTTTAACTGAAGAATGAAGGCAGTGCTGGAAAACACTTCTTAAAATCCCTAACCATGGCCTTTGTCATTGGTAAGTTAACCCTCTCGTGACTCAGCCCCCCCCCCCCCCCCCCCCCGAAAGTTCTACCACTTCTCTGCCTCGGAAGGCTGATAGCCAGCTTCACAAGTTTCTGCTTGTGCCAACTTTGAGCTCAGCATCCCTCGGATCTTGCTTTGATAGGAACAACGAACGAGGTTACGTGTTTTAGCTGCTTTCCTGACTCTCAGGCACGACCACCAGGAGGTCAGAATACATCCGACAAGCAAAATGAGCGCATTTCCTCTCCATCCCCCGTGCCCTCAGTACAAAACCATCTGGGAAGTTAATGAGGGAGACAGGAGGGACGTGGGGCAGCGAACTGCAGCCTCCCGGGGAATGGATCGGGTGCTAGGGCTGGCTCGGGTGGTTTGAAGGAGGAGAGAAACCACCCAAGAGGAAAGGGAACCCGCTCCGGCCAGGCTGGGCGGGCTCGGCACGGAGCCGAGCGGAGCCTCCGCGGGACGCCCCGACGCCGCCGCTCTGCGCCGAGCTCCGCAGGTTACGGCAGCCCCGGCGGGGCCCAGTAAGTCTCGTTCGGGGCTGGGGGGATCCCGGGCACACAAAGGGAGGGCTCTGGCCGTGTCTGCTGCGGCGGTTTCAGAGAGAAAAGCCGCGGGGTGTCGGGTACCGCGTCCCCTTGCAACAGGTCGCGTTGGTGCGACTGACCCCGGGTTCTCGTCCCGGAGTAACTTTTGCGTTTTGCGTGCGGTCCTTGAGCAAGTGACGCGTCTCGGCGGGTGTTGGGGCAGCGGGACGGGTCAGTCCCCGAGGCAGACGCCTGCTCCCGCCGGAGTTTGAACAGCGCTGCCGGCTTTCCTCCGGGTCCGGGCAGAAGGATACGGCTCTCAGGGGCACTGTGAGCTGCGGGAGGACTGGCCGCAGCCCCTCAGAGCCCATGGGGAGCCTCTGCGGGACTGAGCCGTGCTAAGAAACGACCCCGCAGCCGCCTCTATGATGGTGAGGACAGCTCGTGGCGTCCTTCTGTCAGTGGTGATCCCAGGGATGTACAGCCCATGCAGAACGCATCATGGAGCTTCCCTGTGCCTTCACTTGTGTGTGTTTTGGGCTTGGCACAAAATTTCTTTGCCTTTCTTCTGAGATACAGCGTATGAGTACAGAGACGGAGAGATGGTTTTAGTAGAGGTGCTGTTCATGTGTGTGGGCATCTTTGTGAAGATGGCCAGTACATGTTTGTAGCTCAAATTGGAGCATGGGATACTGGAAGTCATGGGCTGTAAAACTGACACACAGAACCAGAGCCTCTGCATCTTCACTTTGGCAATCTCCCACTGAAGCAGGTCTCTTGGGAACTGCCAAATTAAAATCCATCAGGAAAACAGGGTTTGTTGCTGTTGGCGTGTTATGTGGTCAGGCAAGATGAGCACCAGCAGCATCTCTAAGCAATTGTTACTGTTAACATGGGTTTTTAATGAGTGCTATAGACCTAAACTATACCTAGTGCATCTCCTTCAGGCATGTGTTTGGTGTGAGCTACCAGGCAAGGCTTGAGCTGCCAGGCAAACATCACTTGGACAAGAGAGCATCTATAGTGTAGTATGGCTTGTTTTGTGAGGGTTTTGAGTTCAGTTTGGTGATGATAATGCTCTTCTGCAGCTCTGACTAAAATGATTCTGCCTACCTTCACAGGCATCTGCTTTTAAAACCATTTTTTTCGTTAATGTACAGGAAATGGAGCATGGAAATTAGGAATGGAAACTTAAAGCCTTCCCTTCAGCCTTGTTTTCAGCACAATAGATGCTTCACGCTGTTCCTACATGGGAAATGTACATATTAAGTAAGATTGCCACAGATGTGAAAGAGATGAATTGATTTGCCAAAGATTGGAGAGCCAATGTCAGTACTGGGATCAGCCCCGAGGGCTGCTTGGCTCCCGGCTGGTAGGTGACACTTCATCTTTTGCACGACTTTGGTGTGCAGAATGAAGTGATCTGTGTTTGCACAAGCGCATCTCCAAGGAAGAAATTATCTGTGCATACCTAAGATGTTGTACCTGTTTATCAAGAGCTCAGCCTGTGGCTCCTCCCCACCTAACTGCCTTCCTCTTTCTGTTGCTTGAAGCATCACAGTATACTAAGAACAGCTTCTTCTGTTTTGGTGTGGTTTGATTTTTTTTTTCCCCTACAAGTTAGACTAAATAGCCCTGGTTCGGGAGTGGGGGAATTTGGTTTTCCTTAGTGATTGTTTTGGGATGTCTGATGACTAAGGCCACCAAAGCTGCATGTTCTGCTCTCCTTTTGTTTTCTGTTGGTTCACTCCATGGCAATAAGGGCTTCCGTGTGCCTGTGCTGCACAACGTTCTCAGAGGGATGCCAGTGCTTGTGATCCTCCTTACGTGGTGATGAGTAACAGGGGAAGGGAATCTGACCCACAGAAACTTAACGTTGGTGTTCCATGAGCTGATCCAACTAATTTCTGAGTTTGTTTTTTAAGCAAAACCCATGGTTTTCAAGAGGCCAGCTTTAGGCTGGCTTTTACAACTGTCCAGCTGTCTACCTGCTGACTGTTTATCTACTATCTTGGAGCTTGCCTGCAAGTAAATTAAAGCAGATGGTGTGATATCATGAAATATGCTTAATGAGTTGTATTGTGGGGTGCTTCTCCCCTATTCCGTGCCTGATAGCTTAGATTAGTTTCCTGAGTGCAGTGGGTACACAACAAAAGGGGTGGGTGGTTTATTTTTCCAGTTGTATTGTTTTTCTACTGACACATCTGCAAAACAACTGTCCTGGCAAAATCTAAGCTAAACTCAGCCTATACTCACACGGTGAACATTAAGAAGCAGTTGTCCTGGGGAGCACTGGTGAAGTATATTAACTCCATGAAGAGTCTGCAAGACTGTCCTGTCCTGCATATTCTGCTCTGCAATTGCAATCCATAGCAATGGTGCAATGAAGAAGGGAGCTGAAAAAAAGCTCCTGGCTTGTTCCCTCAGATCCCCTTTAAAATGGGCTGTTGGGTGGGCCAGCTTTTTCTCTCCCAAGTGTGATTATAATCCATTTATAGTGAGGAAAAGCAGGTTTGCTGCCAGACAGCATACTTTCCATCAGCAAATGTAATTGCTAGGTAGTGGAGAGAGGTAGAGACTCTGGTTTTCAGGCGGGAGGGAAAGTGGCCAGGGTGTGTGCATCCTTGTGTGCCCAACCATGAATTCCAGGTTTTGCAGGGACATGGGCTCAGCTGTGTAAGCAGAACCTGCCCGTTCACCCTTGTCATGGGTAATAGGAAGGGAGGCAGGTAGCCAGGTCTCAAGCAGCTTTAGGGATGGATCTGGCCAGGGGTGCAGCTGCAACAGGGCTCTTTCTTAAGCTTGTTTAGATTTCCACATCGATCCAACCTTGTCCGGCAATTCAGCAAAACAAATGGGTCTTATTATCACAACCTAAAAACCAGACTAGCAGCTGAGTATCACTGGAGCAGGGGTGGGTTTGATTTCTGGCGTGGAGAGGAGGGTCTCATGTAGGGCTGACCCACAACAAATACTGTGCTGTGTTGCTTGGGCTGCTTCTGAGGGAGTGAGAGGAGGTTTGTGCCAGTATATGAGGTTGCAGTACAGATGCACAGATGCACCCACTGCTAAGAAAGACCATTCCCTAAGGTTCAGTCAAGGTCTCTCCAACATCTATACCCAGACTTTCTCTTTGGAGATTTAAATATCATTCTAACAAGTGTGAGTACATAACTCCTGCAGCAGCAGATCAAATTCATAGCTCCTTTCCTGCAAGCAGAAGTGCATGCTATATGTAACTGGTCCTGAGCCATCATGAGACCGGGCACTGTAGGCTCTGAAGGCTGGCAAACATCCAGCGGGATATAACAGTGCAGATCCAGCCCTTTTGGAACTGGGGTCTCTTGCTCCCATGCTTGGCAGTCTGTGCTGCTGCTGGTAACATCACAGCACTGGTTGAGCAGAGGCACAAGGAGCCCTGCAGCCTGCAAAGTGCAGGGAGGTCAGGGCACAGCCCATTTGGCCTCGCAGTTGAAGACAGAAACAGAGAAGTGAAACTATCCATGAGGTCTGGTGGAGCAGGTATGTGGGAGGAAAGAGTTGATCCATCCCTCCCCAAAGGCTGCCGAAGTGAGGGGTTCAGGACAGCAAGTACACATCCACCTTAAACTAAGCCCTTAAAGGACCTGGCTCAGCCCACACTATTCAGGATTTCATCAAGCTTTGGATTAAGGCAGCCAGGGGGTTTGAAGTGGTGATAGAGTTTGGTAATGAGGGCAGCAGACCCCTGCTCCCCTGCCCATTTGCGTGCAGCTGGGTAATGTCCTGACTGCCTGCAACCACCTTGTTGGGCCTGTCCTCTCCTGGCTGGAGAACTTTGTTTCCTGTTTCATCTAAAATTGCTTAACTTATATCTGCTGAAATATGGTAGTTTATCTTCTGTGGTTATGTGTTCACGTCTTCCTGCATGCTCTCAGACTTCCTGCCTCTTCTCCTGTGCTTTTTGTTTCTCATGTTAGCTTTCTAAACCCAGCTCCCCCAGCAAGTATTTCTACCTTGCAAGCTGCTTACAGCAGCTACTTGCCTTTTCTGAGACAAACCAATCCCAGCCAAAATTGTCTCAGCCCTTGCATTTATGCAGCTGCTAATTTGACCCTAATCCATTTTAAAAGGAGGGTGCTGGTGGGTGAGGATGGAGTGAGAAGAGGGAGGTCTTTGCTTGCCGGTATGTCTGCAACGCTGACAGACCCATGGTGTGATTTGCAGGCTTTCCCATAGGAGAAGCAGTGGTTTAACTCTACCCTGATCGCTTCAAAGCTGATTATTTCTGGCCTCTTGAACTTTTATGATCATTTTATTAGGTAAGGGAATGATCTTTTAATCAGTCCCTAATTTAGATAACTGCATTATATACGCATCTTCTGCAGGAACTTCCTCCTCAAACATACTCTGTGTGTTTTGCAGACTTCCTGGCTGTGTCTCAGTGGTGGGTGACTGAATCTAGTCTTCTCTGCACCACAGTGATAGTAGTAATGTGAAGTTTAATGAGCACCTGCAAATTCGTGTAGCAGGTAAGTGCCTGGGGGTCATTCTTCCTTCCAGATTTGGTGTGATTTTAAAATGATGGGCTCTCACTAGGAGATCTTGAGCCTTGCAGCAGAAATGCCAGAAGGAAAGTGGTGTGGCTCATATTGTAGTAGATGTTCCCAGCAGCAAGGGCCACACAGCATGCAGAGCAAAAGTAGCAATATTGTGACCGTTTAACTTGGAAATGGCTTCTGTTTAGATCAGTGCTAAAAGCCTCTCTTTTGGCATTCAGTTTAAAATCACTTTTATCTGACTGGTTAGAACAGTTGGCATCTAGTCATAGAGAGGGATGGCAGAAGGGAACCAACAGGTCCAAGCTTTGCTGATAACAGCTACTGCTGCATTTGCTGCTGTGCAGGAGAGCTTGCCAGGGGTACCTTACCCAGTTGGAAGAATTCTAGTTCCCCCCTCATTCAGGTGTTAGTGGGGGAGCAAAGGCCTGGAGGTATCTGGAGAGCCTCCTGAAGATAAGCAGAGGCAGCCAGGCCAAAGGGAAATAGCAGCTCTTAACAAGCCAGCAATGTGTAGAGTTTTGATGTTTGTATGAAAACCCCTAAAACCCCACTGAAAGCAGAACTGCTGGGTGAAACCCAGACATGGGGCAGTGCTGCTTTGCGAGCATGTGGCAGGAGGCTCTGTGAGCAGCAGTGGTGGGAACAGGAACTGGAGCAGCCAGAGCAGCAGTCCTGGCAGCCACAATGTCCTGCTGCAGCTCTGGGTACCTGTTACTTCATTTACTCCATGTGATTTTTTTTCTCTTTCTCACTTACTCCGGATCTGTGCTGTGTTGGGTGATGTCTATCCCCTTCTTCCCATCCCAGTCAGTTCAAACGCCTGCTCTGCTCTAGCAAAGCTCAGCTCAGCATTCCCTGGCATGCTGCTCCAGCCAGCTCTGATCAAAGCTGTGAGAGCTGGCCCATTGGCATCCTCCTGTGTGTAAATTAATCTCTTTCTCTTTTTCCTTTCCCCTCACCGTCTTTCATTACTACCCTCTTCCAGAGGCAGGTTTTTCTGGCTAATCTAGTACATCATTTATATCAGTGATATTTGCCTCAAGGCAGAGGTGCCTTTTCAGCATTTATAGGGAAAATACCTGATGCACCCTATGGCTGTACATGTGGCTTGGAAAAACCAAGCATGGTGTTGGCAACGATGAGGACCATTGAGGCCAACTGTTGCAGAATTTAAGCCCTGTTAGGCAGAGTCTCCAATTCGTATGGTTATTTCAGTTGCCTGGCAAAGGAAAACATACTGTTCCTTCACTTTCAAAACCAGGAGGAAGAGCACGTAGAACAGGTCACTTTTCTGCTTGGGCAGAACATTAGCTACAGGGTGTCAGCTGAGCCACCTGCGCAACCAACTGCATCTTCCTCTATGTTGCCTCAAGGGATGGTGGGTGCCGTCAGTTATAGAGTTTGTGGCCAAACTCAAATGGAAGTGATGAAAATCAGCTTCAGGGTGCCTTGCTTTCAGTTCTTCCTAATTGCAGAAGATTCAGTGATGCTCAGGGAGCACTTGATGAGGAGTGGGAGCAAATGGTTCCCGTGCTGCCTGCAGGGAGGGAAGTAGCTCCCTAGGACAAGATACTGCCTGCATGGGCCGGAATCCCAGCAGGGCTTACAGCTTGTTTTGGAGAAAGCTCATGCGGTGAGAAAGAGACTTTCCTACAGGTAGAGGTAGTTAAGCAGTAGTCTAGACTGCCTTGGGAAGCAGAGATGGAGATTTGCTGGAAGCTTTTCAGAAGTAGGCAAAGACTTGCCAGAAACCATCCGGGCACAGTGTAGGCCATGCACAGAGGCAGAAGGGGGAGACTGTATTGTTTTTAGAGATCTCTTTTTACCCTATTTTTTAAGAGTCTTTTAAATAGTATTTGTAGAATATTAATATGTATCAGCGACGGAGCTAAGGACACATTCTCAAGCTTAAACTGTGAGACTTGATGTTCACAGTCTAGTGCTTCCCAGAGGGACTTGTGGTTATGTACCTGAACCCAAAATGCTTAGATCCTAAGCTGTTTCCTCCTGGATGTTCAGGTACCTAACTGCCACTAGTTTCATATGAGTGTTTGATTTCTAAAGGCCTCTGGAGATTTAGCAACCAAATATCTTGCAAAGGTTGGATTTTCTGCAGCACAGCCACTTCTGCACTCTAGATTGCAACAACTCATTTTAATTGAAGATCCTTATCTTTTTCTCCTAGGCTAGTAGGGGCAAGGATGAGATGGGTGGCTGTCTTTTGGGTAGCTAGAATCCCATCAGCTGACCCTCCCCTACTGTAACACAGTGACATAAATTATTTGGCTTACTAAGTGACTTAAGGACATAGAGCTTTACTGCAGTCCTACTTAGCGAGCTGGCTATGCTCAGTCTAAGTATTATGGCCACTCTCTTCTGCAGCCAAAGTCAAAAGGCAGTCTGAAGGTGCTTGGCTGATGAACATCCTCTTGAGCTGCTTCATGCACTTGGAATGCATGCAGGGTTGTGATCTCAAGCTCTGAAGGAGTAACAGGAAGAAATGTCAACTGAAGTTGCAGGAAGAAATGTCAACATCCTAAGTCATCCACAACACATGCTCTTAGCTCAGCCTTGTATTTGCTGCTAGTCCTGGACACTTCAGTCTCCCATGTGGAGTTGGAAGCTGTCTTTGCTCCTCGCTAAGCTCCTTTCCTGATGCAGTGGAGGGGATTTTTGTGCTATGAGTAGGGGCCCCATAGCTATGACTCACAGTTCCCATTACGTTATAACTTAGCCTTTAAGTGTGCAGAGAGGCTGTCCCTTGGCTTTCAAACAAAGCCTTCCTTTGTTGTGCTGATGTTATAAAGGAGGCAGGCGTATGTGTTCACCCCACACATTCCAAATGAAAAACATGTGGCTTCTCAGCCTTAATATGTGTGTTTGGTACTTTTGCTACAGCAGTGCATGTTACATTGCTCTTATCTCATGGAGTCTTTTCAGAGTTTTTCTTCCCAGCATTCAGTTTAGAAACTCTTCAGGGAAAGAAAAGGTTAAAGATGTTTTCTTTTGCTGCTAAACTGAGGGGACTGAGCAAAGAGCACATGAGAATTATTAAATATGGGTGCATGTGGCAATAGGCTGGTTTCTGGAGTCATTCCTTTGGAAGAAAATGGCTCTGGGTTGGTGGCCACAGGTCACTGAAAGGATGAGCTTCATAGAAATATTGTACGGAAGCGGGCAGTTTGTTTTCTTGTATGGCTTCACTTTTTTCTTCTAATTTTTATTCATTCAACGTCATTTTGAACAGCAGAGTTAGCCAGCAGTACAGCAGCCAACATATTTGTGAGCGTGCGTGTGTCTTGGCAGTTCCTAGGTTTATGAGTAGCGAGCCAAGACTGGGCTTATTGCTTCCTTGTTACTTCTGTTCTTTTCTAGAGCCACCAGGTAATGGAGTTAGAGGGCCTGATTCTTCCTGCAGATAGTGGCATGCAGTGCACAGTGCTTCTGCATAGATCAGGGAGTCATCCTATTGAGAGTCAGGGAAACAGGGCATTGTAGCACCAGTGCTCTTTCTTGCTCTCTCCTCCTTCCACACCCTCTACACATCGCTGCAGGGGCTTTCACAGTCTGTTTTGGGGTGTTGGGGTTTGTTGTTTTTTTTTTTTTAATTTATTTAGGGAACTATATTGTGTTTTATAAAAAAAAGCTGGGATTTCAGGCAATGGGATAAAGAACTGTTTTTCATTTCTGTGGTGATGTTTTGGCTACCATAGCCAGCTTTAAATACTGTTCCTCACAAATGTTTGAATACAACAGCTGTAACTAGTTAGCAAAACAATCGTGCAATATCACACAATCCTCCAGTCCCATCCAGTGTTTTTGAGCCCTGTTTAAGCAGACAGAATCATAGAATGGTTTGGGTTTGAAAGGACCTTAAGGTCATCTAGTTCCAACCCCCCTGCCATGGGCAGAGATGTCTCACTCTAGACCGTGTTGCCCAAGGCTCTGTCCAACCTGGCACTGAACACTGCCATGGATGGAGCATCCACAACTTCCTTGGGCAACCCGTTCCAGTGCCTCACCACCCTCACAGTAAAGAACTTCTTCCTTATACCTAACCTGAACTTCCCCTGTTTAAGTTTTAACCTGTTACCCCTTGTCCTATCACTACAGTCCCTAATGAAGAGTCCCTCTCCAGCATCCTTGTAGGCTCCCTTCTGATACTGGAAGGCTGCTATGAAGTCTCCATGGACCTTCTCTTCTCAAGGCTGATATTTAGGCCTGCAGGTCTCCTGATATAGGAGCTTGACTTTGTCACTGAGTCAAGACTGTGATGGAGTAGAAGATGTCAGATCAACCTAATTCATAGCCTTCAATGACAGCTTTTTGCTGTGTTTTTGTTCAGCATCTCAGTGTGGAAGAGTCTGGTAACTGCTGTGCTTTCTATTGTCTGTAATGTATAAGTGCTCCTTGCTACATAACTGAAACGGGACTTCATAGTTTCCCATGTAAAACATAATCATTCTGCAAGTCATGTCTGAGCTGTGCCGATATCCACATGTGCTCTTCTTAGATGTGCTGCAGTGGTGTATCCCTGCTGGGAAATCAACTTTCTATTAATGCTTCCACCAACACTTTAATACCAAAGCATTCATTTTGACAGGTGTACAATATTATTATTATTATTATTTATTATTATTATTATTATTAAGTTGGTTGTGTAGCAATGCAGGACATATGCCTAGCTTAGGATGAGGAGAGTCAGGGTAACAACTACCTGATTTAACAACACTGGTGTGATTTCCTCCACCTTCTTGAGAATTCCATAGGGAAAAGGAGGGCAGATTTAAACAAACCTCTTGGCAATTGAACCCTCTGTATTCTGACCACCTTTCCCTGAGGTGACTGCCAGATCATAGACTCATAGAATCAGCTAGGTTGGAAAAGACCTTTAAGATCATTGAGTCCAACTGTTACCCCTGCACTGCCAAGCCCAGTACTCAACCATGCCACTGAGGGCAAACTGATCT